TCTAAGATCCATTAAAGACGGTTACCAATCAAACTTAGGTTAATTAAAGACAAAATAAAATAATCATTAAAAGCTAAGAGAAAATTAGTAATATTAAAACCATGACAAGTTAACCTTAAAAAGGTTAAAGTATAAAACCTTAAATATACTAACTTTATAAAGATCCGAAAATGAAATAAGACACTTTTCTAACTTTTAGATATTTTAAAAATAGTTTAAACTTGATTTTTTAACGAGAATTTTTTTTTGAGAAACATACATAATTTGTTATTTTCAAAATATGTGGTCAATTCAAATGCTTTTGTTTAAGAAAGAAAATCTTTTCATGAAATTAAATTAACAAAAGAAATCTTGCAGTTAAAGAGATCATACACACATTTGCCTTGATAAAGAATAAAAAATCTCTAACCACTTGAAAGTCCTTTATTTTCAAATTTTGCCTACTCAAAATTCCCCAAAAAGAGTTGTGTTTTAAATCTTTAACTATATCAACATTTTATAAAGTTTACATTCTTAAAGTATAAACAAAAAATGTACAAACTGCCCCTTTAAAATTCTTTTTAAAAAAATGCTTCACCGTAGAGTTCAGAAATTTACACTTTTTGTTTTTAACCTAAAAAAAGTTTATGGAAACTGTTAAAAAAGTTATATTTAAAAGACCTTTTTTTATCAAAAAGTATGGTTTAAGGGTTGATACATATTCATTATGAAAAAGGGTCCAACTTCTTCGCAAAACTATGCTTTCTCAAACTAACAAACGAGTTAAGCAGCAAAAGGAACTTAATTTAAAGGTCATTATTCTAAGCCAAATTAATATATTAAACCAAGTATCTAAAGGAGGGGAAGGTGAGCAACTAGGTTTGCTAAAGTTCTTAGTTATTTTATATAAGTTCAAACATAAATTGAAACAAAACATAAATATAGGTGCCAAAAGAAAGTATAAAACGTTAGTCAAAGATAACAACATATATGTATGTAAAGCTTTGAGATAAGGATGGAAGTGCGGGATTTTCTTTTGGAATGAGTGAATCATTCTAGACACAAGCTAAATGCAAGATTAGTCGCTTCTCTAATTTGGATAGAGGTGGAGTCATATTGCAACTACATACACGCTCCAGAGTGTACATGTAAAGAAAGGTAACAAAGAAAATTAGAAAGACAAATACATTAAAGTGAAACACTCACACACATAACCACATAAACAAATATTTCTAAATTTCTAATCCTTAAAACATAAAACAAATCAATTCTTGTATCATAGTCAAATAACATATGTAAATCATATTTAAGGTCAAGATTAATATTTTAACACATCTATGCTTATCCCAACACCAATCATACATAGAGTAACTTCTAATATGTATTAAAGTTTTTGCTGTAAATTTAAACAACATCATAGGCGCATTTGAACCAAGTTGAATCAGTTTTGACCTAATTAATACTTAAAGATATGATCTGCAAGTCAGAATAAAATTATCATTCAGTTGTAAAGCAAAATTCTGGAATAGCGTGCGTCTATAATGGGGCACAAATACTGGCAATCAAAGTCATGTACTTTAACTCAACTGAAGAAGCATACATTTTCAATAATAACTCGTTAGAATAAGCTTTCATAAAGGACTAAACATGATCTGAGCAACTTGGACATTATCACTTACACATACAAGCATACACTAAATATATTAATGACAAATTTACTTACAAGTTGTTCCTATATGTTAGAGCTAGCTACTTTCAGTTTAAGAGCGCATGGGAAAAATAAAATATAATGTAAATTATGAATAATTACAGCAATGTTTTCCAGAGAAAATCAAAACGAAGTGTTAAATATATACATCCTAAGGCTGACTTCATTTTTATAACGAATGAACTAAAAACAACCCATTTTATAAATCATAATCATATAAGAGAACTCTCATATGAAGAAAGATCTTAAATTCTACACCCAAACAAGCTGCAACACACTCTCAAAACTGAAAGAAAACTACTTTTAAGATCGTATGTACATAAATAAATAAAATTGTTAAAACAATCAGATTTAAAGGTCACTGACCTGTTTTGGGGCAGCGAACTGGGGCGTTTTTTAAGCCTCCGATCTACACCCTTTACCGAATAAAAGCGAGACTAATTAGGGAAAGTTAAAATGCAAAGTATTGAAAGCTCTGAGAAGGACGAGTCAAGAAGAAACTTAAAATGTTATGAAACTTGTGGGTGAAGAGGGCAACCTCCAAAACCTGTTGAAGCTTGTCCCAAACCAAATATTTATAGCAGTAGAAGATTAGTGCTCTTAGTTTGGGCGGGATTTTGAATTTCAATATGGTCAAATAAATCTGAAATTTTTTTGAACGTTTGGGGTAGTTTTATGCAGACTTGTAGGCTTCACGTGATTCATATGCATATATCACGGAAATGGAATAGTTGAGAGCTGTCAATGTCTGACAGACCTTGTTGTTTTTCTGAAAAAGGGAGGGAAGAAGAGAGACAGGGCGGTTGTTGTTCTCTCAAGATTAGGTCAAAATTTGGGCCGAAAAAATTGCTTTTGGGCTGAATTTTTGGGCTATTTTGATATAAAATAAAAGTTGAAATGTTTTGGTCTCTTTTGGAGGCTTTGGACCGAATTTTGGACTTCTTTAGGACAGATTTTTATGCAACAAATGGATTGAAACGCTGGCCTGAATTGTTGGCCTTTTCCTTCTTCTTTTAAATTATTTATGGCTTCTAACTTGATAACTAATACAATATATAGTAAGACAACACTAATAATATTACGACTTTTCACTTATATAAAATAAAGATACAAGAATATTGACTTATAATTAATTTAATAAAATACGAAACTTGAAATAAACTGACGACAATCGATTATTTAAGGAAAAGAGGTATAAAAGTAGTATTAGTAATTTTGATAATAAAACTAATAATTTTAGAAGATAAATAGTCGTAGTAGTAAAAATAGTTGTGAAAAAGGATAATTTTATACGTTATTAAATTAGATGCTCGAAAATAATAAATTAGAAGAAAGGAGGGTCAAAATTGGGTGTCAACAGCTTTTCCCTCTTTGACCAGAGACAATGTAAGAGTTTTTGGGCAAAGAAGTTGACGTAGAGGCCATTTTTTTCCCGACCAACAAATGCATCAAAGTTTGCCCCGGTGTGAATTATGATGTTACCGGTTAGTGTGATTGAGGAGAGTCTTTTAGAGTGGAGTCGAGCAGAGTTCCAGATTGACATTTGACCTTTGTTGGAAAGCTAAACTTTCTCAACAAATTGCCCCAATTCACTGCTTAGATAAAATTCCACGTTGTGCTAAAGCTCCTGCAGAACTCAAACTTGAAAAAATAGTTAATAATATTAAACATAAAGCATGGTGCGATAAACACATGGAAATAACACCTTCTGGATGTGCATTATGAAAATGCGGCCTTGCAAGCCGAAATGATTTAATGAGATAAAATCTTGCAAAAAAAGAAAAAAAAGTTTAAGGCCGATGATTCATGAGGAATGGTGCTTTTCAGCGATGATTAAGGAAAATGGGGCCTTAACCAAATAAATTATGGAAATGAGGCTTTTTGCCAAATGATTTAAGAATGAAACTTTTTAAGCCTAGTGATTTATGAAAAGGAAGTCTTTGAAAGCAACGCATTCTGGTAAAGCGTTTGTGCAGTATATTGGAAAGCATTTATGCAATCAACTAAGGATATTCGTGCAATGCACTAGAAAGCCATCGAAAGCCATGTAGAATTCCTTTTAAATACTTGAAAGTATTAGTGCATTTGAAAATATGAATCTGTGCGAGACATATAAAGCATTTGTGCAGTGCATTTGAAAATATCTCAAAGTATTTGTGCAGTGCGCTTGAAAATATTTGAAAGCTTTTATGCAGTGCACTGAAAATATTATAAAGCATTTGTGCAGTGCACTTGAAAATATTTGAAAGCATTTATGCAGTGCATTTGAAAATATCATAAAGCATTTGTGCAGTGCATTTAAGAGTATTCATGCACAGCAAAAACATATGCAATATGTTTAAAAATATTTGTGCATGAATATGTTTGAAACTTTTGTAAAACTTCACCTATAAGTTTCGAATCATAAATTTATAAGTAAATAATTCAAACCACTCGACATATAGTCCTTTCAATGCTATAGACGTCATTGACTTCTCAGCTTCTATTAATCCTGACAAACCTGCACTCAAAGAAAAAATTTAAGTTTTGGAGGAGGTTGATTTGCGTTGACTTGAAAGGTATGGCAGCTCATACTTCTTTCTTCCAGCTTTGCTTGGACTCAGAACCTCCGTCCATTTTAAATCTTGGTTAAATGAATAACAAGAAAATAAATAAAAAGAAAACATTTGATTGAAACTCATATTTGAAAATAAGATAAAATTATATACGTATATATAGCAATAAAGAATTTTGTCGAACTTAACATAGTGACATGTCATGAAACAAAGCGAACGTTCTTTATCTAAAGTCTTTCTTCTGTCGGATGATTCGATTGACAATATACTCTTCAAATATCTTGATATCTTCTTGCAATGATGCCTTTAAAAATTGTTCTAGTTTTTTGTGAAAGAGATATGCCGTCCTTTGGTCACAATGATACTGACCCTCCTATAGGATGCACACTATTCTATCAAGGCACCAACCCAAACATAACCTATGGATATAATTAAAATTGAAATACCGGGGACGAACCCTCCTCGGGTTGCCTACGTATCCGAACGAAATCAGACCATACGCAATTCGCTACATACAAAGAAATGGAGAAATGAAAAAAAATCTTAATAAAGTGACCGAAGCCGATATAGGCCGCCTACGTATCCCACCGAGGGTATCAGGCCAAGCGTAGTTCATATTACATAAAAAGGAAATTTTGCAAAACCTATTAAAAGACCAAATCTGATGTGGATTTCCTACGTATCCCGCCATAGGAATTAGGTCAAGACGTAGTTCCAATACATGACAAAAAGATTACAAGAAAATGAAATAGAAACCTCTAGATGTAGTATCTCTTAACCGCATCTGAATTGATAGCTTTTAGCCATATCTTACCATCCATTTCTGCTAGAATCAAAGCTCCTCCGGTCAGTACTCGGTGAACCATGTAAGGTCCTTGCCAATTAGGTGCAAACTTCCCCTTTCCTTCATTTTGGTGCGGGAATATTCGCTTCAACACCAATTGTCCCGGTTCAAACTGTCTCAATTTTACTTTATTGTTGAAAGCTTTGGCCATCCTGTGTTGATAAAGTTGCTCGTGTCAAACTGCATTCATTCTTTATTCATCAATGAGCATCAATTGTTCATACCGATTTTGCATCCATTTGGCATCACTTAACTCAGCTTCTTGGATGATCCTCAAAGATGGTATCTCAACTTCCATTGGTAACACTGCTTCTGTTCCATAAACCAAAATATAAGGTCTTACCCCAGTCGAAGTCCTGATTGTGATGCGGTAGCCAATGAGGGCAAATGACAAACTCTCATGCAATGCTTGTAGTTATCAATCATTTTCCGTAATATCCTCTTGATATTTTTGTTGGCGGCCTCAACTTTTACATTGATCTGAGGTCGATAAGGAGTGGAATTGCGGTGAATAATTTGAACTTCTCGCATATCTCATGCATCAAGCCACTATTGAGATTAGCTCCATTATCTGTAATAATTGACTCGGGGATCCCAAATCTACAAATGATGTTATTGCGAACAAAATCTGTCACCACCTTCTTTGTCACAGACTTGTATGAAGATGTTTCTACCCACTTTGTGAAGTAATCAATAGCTACCAAAATGAACTTGTGTCCATTTGAGGCGGCTGACTCAATAGGGCCAATAACATCCATGCCCCAAGCTGCAAATGGCCAAGGAGAACTCGTCACATTTAGCTCATTCAGTGGAACCCGAATCAAATCACCATGAATCTGACATTGATGACACTTTCTCACAAAACGAATGCAATATGTTTCCATAGTCATCCAAAAATATCCAGCACGTAGAAGCTTTCTTTGCCAAAGTGAAATCATTCATGTGTGGCCCACATGTACCCCCATGTATTTCTTCAATCAACTTGCTTGCCTCTTGAGAGTTAACACATCTTAACAATCCCAAATCTGGAGTCCTCCTATAAAGGATTTCTCCACTTAGGAAAAGTGATTTGCGAGTCTCTGAAGTGTCCTCTTTTGAACATTGTTTACTCCTTCTGGATAGTCTCCTTCTCTAAGATTCCTCTTAATGTCATAGTACCAAGGTTCTCCATCCGGTTCTTCATCTACATGGAAATAATAGGTTGGCTGATCCTGCACATTGACCTTGATTGGATCTATATAGTTCTTGTCTGGATGTTGAATCATAGAAGCCAGGGTTGCCAACGCATTTGCAAACTCGTTCTGAGATCGAGGAATATGCTTGAATTCTATCTTGACAAATTTCTTGCACAATTCTTTCACACACAGCAAATATGGGAGTATCTTCACAATCTTGGTGCTTCATTCGCCTTGAACCTGATGAATTAACAAGTCGAAATCACTTATAACCAACTATTCTTGTATGTTCATGTCAACAGCCATTGTAAGCCCAAGAATACAAGCCTCGTTGTCCGTCATATTATTTGTGCATAAGAATCTGAACTTTGTTGAGATAGGATAATGTTGACCTGATTCTGAAATCAACACTGCTCCAGCACCGACTCCTTTGGAATTCGCAGCATCATCAAAAAACATTCTCCACCCGGGATATTCTTCGGAAATATCCTCTCCAATAAATAAACCTCTTCATCAGGGAAATAAGTTTTAAGAGGCCTGTACTCTTCATCCACGGGATTTTTGGCAAGATGATTAGCTAGTGCTTGTCCCTTGATATCTTTTGAGTGACATAAACAATTTCAAATTCACATAGCAAAATTTTCCACTTCGCCAACCTTCCAATGGACATGGGATTCTAAAATATATACTTGAGTGGATCTATCCTTGAGATGAGAAAAGTGGTATACGCACATAAATAATGTCTTAACTTTTGTTCAACCCAAGTCAAAGCACAACAAGTGTGCTCCAATAAAGTATACCGAGCTTCATAAGGAGTGAACTTTTTGCTTAAGTAATATATAAAACAAAGGCTGAAATGTTTTGGTCTCTTTTGGAGGCTTTGGACCGAATTTTGGGCTTCTTTAGGACAAATTTTTATGTAACAAATGGGCTGAAACGCTGGCCTGCATTGTGGGACTTTCCCTTCTTCTTTTAAATTATTTATGGCTTCTAACTTGATAACTAATACAATATATAGTAAGACAACACTAATAATATTACGACTTTACTCTTATATAAAATAAAGATACAAGAATATCGACTTATAATTAATTTAATAAAATACTAAACTTGAAATAAACTGACGATAATCAATTATTTAAGGAAAAGAGGTATAAAAAGTAATACTAGTAATTTTGATAATAAAACTAATAATTTTAGAAGATAAATAGTCGTAGTAGTAAAAATAGTTGTGAAAAAGGATAATTTATACGTTATTAAATTAGAAGCTCGAAAATAATAAATTAGAAGAAAGGAGGGTCAAAATTGGGTATCAACAGGGACCACCTTGTGCACCCTGGTTACCATCCCAATGGTCCTGACCTTGGCATCAGCCTCTAGCTAAGGGTGTTGCTGCTAGAGCTGGTCCAACTACATGTTGAGCTGGTTCAGGCATCCTATACATGGGAACTCTCTAGGCCAATATTCAAACTCCCCACAATCATAAAAACCATGTGAATATTGGTCTTCATAAGAACGGTACATCAGCCTCTAAAGCCTGACCATGCAGTCTAGACTGACCCTGTTGAAACCATTGCCAAGGCTTATCATAAAAGTCCCTGGACTAGAACGGGAGTCATTGTAGCTACCCTCATGCCTATCCCTCTTATCGCTACCCCCATGGGACTCACGACAGAGCTGCTCAATAGTATGGGCATGGTAAACTACACCCAAAAAGGGGCATCCCACTTAAACCACATCATGGTCTCAATATACAATTGAAGTCTTAAACCTCTAACAAAGAATTAAACTTTCTCCTCCTCAGTAGGCAATATCATAGTAGCATGATGGTAGAGCTCAAGAAACCTCATCTGATACTCTAATACAGTAATGTAGCCCTACTCCAACCTCGAGAAATAATCTGTAAGTCTATATCTATTGCTCCTTGGGATAAACCTAGACAAGAAGGCCTTTGAAAAATCTGACCACGCCATCAGAATAGACCCAACGGTGGACAGTTTTGCAATTATGGAGCACTAGTCCAACATCAGTGCTACTTTTTCTAAAATGCTAAAATTATTTTTGCTTGAAAATTTGATTTTGAAAGAAGATAACCTTCACCTTATGATGATGGTGGGAACAATTGTGAATTATGTTTGTATATAGGGTTTTGTTATTTTGTGTCTTTTGTTTTTGTAATTTGAGTCATATCTCATAGTTGTGTATTTCCTATATTGTGTGTGGTTGAGTGTCAATTCTATGTTTTTTGAATGGTTTGCTTGACGATAAGTAATAGTTCAAATTTAGGATTTGACGAATTGGTATTTTACCAACCTAGAAGATTCTTATTCATGAATTATTGTTATGTTTTAATGCTAAAGGAGGGGATTTTAGGCCCTTGTGATCTTGTGTGTGGGAACTTCTTAGAAAATGAAGATCGAAGGATTTGGAATGAAAAATCACTAAATACACAAGCGAGTAACCGGTGTTCACAGAACTGAATAGGTGTTTTGTTGTCTCAATGTTGACTATAAGGAAATATATTATCGTAATGCACATGTGCTTGATGGAATTGCATCGTTGTTACGCCGGTTCTAATATAGGCCCCACTGAAATGGAACGCACTGAAGCAATTTCACAAGTGGTGCTGAACATTTCTATGTCAATGTAGTGCAAGTGAAATACGAAAATTAAGGGGATAACTCATACTTGATGCTGAAAATGAATCCTTTTAAAGATTTTGAGGACAAAATTAAGACATGTGTAATTAAGTATTATTATGTTTTTCCCAATTATTGATCGTTCGAAGAAGCTTTCATTATTGCAAAGTAGAGAATAGGAAAATAGACATTGAAAACCCCTTTGTTTGCTCAAGAAGAAAATCAATATTGTACCACGAAGTTTGGATCTGAAATTTGGTTACTATTGATAAAAGAAATGGAGTACTCTCTTGTTCGTATATCTTCTCTTTCCTTATTTATGAGTAGCTAAATCTCTAGCTAAGGTCGTATGTCATGAACTGGTGTATCTTAATGGGTAGTGATTAAATAGTTTTATAAACAATTGTTATGCATAGATCTGTTATTGTCTTGAAGTTCTAATCTAAAAGCCAATGGTTGTGGACATTGATTGAATTCTCTATCTCTATTTTGTCTTGAGAAAGAAAATAAAGTTTGGGTAAGACTTTGGCCATTGGATTAGAGATAGATATAGTCTAATTTGATTTATTTCTCATTGAAGAGTAGAGTTAGAGATAGTCCAATCCACTCAAGCAATATTTATTTTTTTGTTTACATGGTCTTAGGATTCAGAAAAACCTTAGATATACTTATTGAATAGTTTGAGAGAATGTTTAATATAACATATACCAAATCGTGTCCATGTGTTAACTGTTTTAGAATTGATTAATCATTACCTATTGGGATGAAACTCCATCAATATCATTAGACACTTCCCTAGTCATTTTCATCTTATTGAATTTATTGTTTTGTTGATTACTTGATCTGATACTTGAAATTTGAATCAAAATTGTGTTTCCTAATTTCTCCTATTTTTTCATTCCTATTTGACAACATTGTGCTAGTTAGTTTTGAATTGACAATCGAGTAGAACATACTCCTTTTTGTCGATCCTTGTGGTTCGACCCCAACTCCTAAATTGGGTTTTTTTTCATACGATCATCTATATCTTAATCACTAGGTATACTTGTGAAATTCTTTGTGAGAGTGAGCATGTTTTGATTCTTGTGCCTATATGTGTGTTGAATATGCTGACATGCATTAGAATTGTTATATTCTTATTACGTGTGTTTTATTGCATAGTAGATTTATCAGAGCTAATAAGCATGTTTTGAGCAAAAATACACTTGCCATTGAGCTTTGAAGTCAGAGTAGAAACCCAATAAAATGATCAAGATCGTATTTGAGAGTCATTGAGCTAAAAGACAAAGAAAAATAAAGAAAAACTTGAGTAAAAATGTGTATGTGGTGTGGCCACGATATCAGGCCTACGTACCGCGAGTTAAAAAGAAATAAGGAAAAGCAAAACAAAATGGCTTCTGGAAAATTGGCCTTGTGCAGAACGGTCATGCTACAAAGCTCACAGAGTGTACAACTAAAAAGATGAATGACTTATTTTTTTTGGCTTGATGTTATTTTTTTATCTACAGATTAAATATATGTGATATAAATAGTGTATTAACTCAATATTTAAAGGGTTGCAGAGTTCATGAGAGGCAAGAACAAGGAGAAGAGTTGATAACTTAAAATCGTCCTAGAGTTTCATTCTCTTCTACTCTTTTACTTGTTCGTTATGCAAATCCATGTTGTGCTACTAAACTCTATTATGAGTAGCTATATTATTTTCTTGTATGATTGATAGAATCCATTTTTGGATGAACTGGTAATTTTATTTTACTATAATCAAGTCGTTTTACTTCATCTCTATTTGTTGATCTATGTTTTATTAATGTTAATTAAAAGGCCTCCGATTAACAGTGTCGTGGTATATTGATGTTCCTGAGAGAGAGTGAAATTACGTTTTAGTTGAACAACAACACTTCAAAGCATCAAAAGATTAATGACTGTGATTTAAAAGTAAAAGTTAGAAATAACAAAACTTTGGTGTGATTTATATGAACAAAGTAATCGATTAGCAAGAGTTTATTCGAGAGAATAACGCTAGAAAATCATTACAGTATGTTAAGAAATAATTATAGTGAGTAAATGTTCATAGTCGATAGAGAATTATTGGACAAGATAATACTGTCATAATCTAAGTTTGTTCCGACAATCGGCGAAATCATCAACCTAGATTGTTTGAACAAAGCCATATATTGCTTACTTGTTTAATTATTTGTATTTGTCTTAGTTATTATTTAAATTCATAACAACAAGAAATAAAAAAAAATCATGAGAATTCAATTATTATAATATTCTTAGCGATATGGAAGAAACTTTGATAGTTTTTCATGGGATTGACTCTGGTCACAAAGAAAGTCAGATTATATTTGCAATGACCTATCCTTTTTAGGATGAGTTTTGTGTGTGATCATAAATACAAATGGTATTTTTTTTCTAGGCAACAGATAGTAACTAATACAAATATAAATACAAACACACAAGACAACAAATATAAACACAAATACAAACACACCAGTAACATATAAATATAAATACACAAGACAACAAATTAATACAAATGCATATAAATAAAAATATAATTTGTTATGAAATACAGCATTAATAAAACTGTAATAGTTTATTTGTTAATTGTACTTTGATATAAATTGTGTTTGTTAATATACTTGATAAAAGTGATTTGTATCAACAAATATAATAGTTTTTGATACAATTGTATCCATTGATACAAATCAATTATACATCAATAATATTCTATAATGACCTGACTGATTGTTATGAGTAGGTCCACATGGAAGAAATTTGAGTCAGAAAACTTTCCAAGTAGAAATTTGAAAATTC